GGAGTAGCGCATGGTGCTGTATCCCGTCCACGTCCGCACAGCTGTCCGCCACCATTTAAACCTCAGATCGGTACTCTTTGTTTATGGCTGGGAGGGACTTTCTGGACTGCTTAAAGCAATCGACATTTATTTCTCTGGCTACGTTTTGGGGTAATCTGTTACTTCTGTCATTGCTGAGATCTGGCCTGAGATAAATTGGATGGAAAATGCTAAACAACAACCTGACTGTTCAGAAAAACGGATGACTCTTGCATCTCAGAGATAATTTGTGACCTCAGGGTCACCACAAAGAGCGGAGGGGGGTCCTTTTATAACACTGACCGTCTGGAACCATCACAGGCTGCACTGCAAATTCCCCTCTTTTTGAGACGTTTCCTTCAACAATACTATTTTTATTAGGTCGCCAAAAATATTTTCTCCCCTGAGCCAAGCATTTTTTTTTCAGAAATAAAAATGTTATGAAAGTGAACATGTGAAATGTAATACATGCAACATGTAAAGTATGACATGTAAATATAACTTGGTTGTGTTGCAAAGCCCCCTTTTCTTTATAAAAAACGAGACATTCAAGTGCAAAAGTATGTAATAAACCATTTGCATCTTTGGTTGACTGAGTTGTCACTAAAATGCACAAAAAACACAGTGCTGTCCTCTGTTTAAAACTCTGCTTTTCAGTGCCATTTGCACAGTGAGCGAGCTTTATTAGCACTGATTTCTGGGAGGAGCTTTAAAATACACATTGGTTCTGACCGGTAACCTTTGCTGCCCACAGGTGTGCTGTAATTTTATTCTAAGGTTTCCATCAAAAGTATAAACTGCCATGTGGAAAGGACGAATGCAAACAGCCTCTTTTTTTCTTTTTTGATGGAGGTGCTGGGGATGGAACCCAGGACCTCGTGTGTGCTAAGCACGCGCTCTACCTCTGAGCTCTACCCTCCCCCCGAAACAGCGTTTATAACTTTGGGGATAAATTCGTTGGTGATGATGAGGTAAACAATAAAAATGTAATTTCTTATGTTATTGGAGCTTAGGGGAAAAAATCAGTGTTTTCAGAAGTTACTATTGATGTGATTATCATGTTTTTCGGATTCAGTGATTACTGGTGTTTAGTGATAATGTGCAACCTTAGACAAAAGGAAACAGCTGAGAACCGGAATTTATGGCCAGCACTCCGGCCACTGAGCGCTTCTTCTGAGCCACTGGCTTGTCAGCAGTTGACCCGCAGTGAGCATGAGTTCCTGGGGAGTTTGAGTTTCGGGAATATGGGAGGCTTTTTCGGTTGCCCCACTGGTTGGGGGACACTACTTGGTGATGTGTGGCTGGGACGAGCTGTGCAGAAAGTCCTGCACAGCCACCGATTGCCTTTCTCCAATGTCCCTGAACTCTGCTCAGGAGCGCTGATGAGGTGAATTTAAGTATTTCCACTTTAGAGCTGAGAAATAAGGAAATTAGAGAAATCTGACCTGGCGGGTCCAGCCTGGCACAGTGGTGAGAAGCTAGCTGGAAAAAACCAAGGGAGAACAAAAATGCAAATTTTGCTTGCAGTGTTATGTGACAGTTTTCCAGCTTAAAAAAATCTTTATTTTGAAATAATTTTAGATGTACAGGAAGTCGCAAAGATGGTACAAAGAGGTCTCATGTAGCCACGTCCAGTTTCCCCAACAGGTACCACTTACATGACAGTCATACAACATCAAAACCAGAACGCTGACACTGGTACTGCCTGCAGGGGTAGTTCTATGTCAGCACACATGTGGGTTTGTGGAACCACCTCTGCAGTCAAGAAACAAGGGTTCCATCACAAAGATCTTCCTTTGTGGTCACACCCACCCCCTACTCATAGATTGCCAACACGTCTGTTCCCTGTGTCTGTGATTTTGTCATTTTGAGAATGTGACATAGATGAAATCTTACCGCATGTGGGCTTTGGAGACTGACTCCCCCCCCCCCCCCAATAGCATAGTGCCTTGAGATCGACTCAGGTTGCCGTATGTAGTGGTAGTCTGTTCATTTATGTTACTGAGTTCTGTGATATGGGTAGTTCCTTAACCGTGTACCTATTGTAGGATATTTCGGTTATTTCCCATTTTTTTGATAATAGAAAGTGTCTGTTAACAATTGTGTACAGGTCTTCACATGACTTAAGTTTCCATTTCTTTGAGATAAATGCCCAGGAATGCAGCTGCTGAGTGGTATGATAAGTAACGTCTTGTTTTGTAAGACACTGCCAGGCTGTACTCCAGGCTGGCTGTACAGTTTCACATTTTCAACAGCGTGAGTGAGAATCCAGTTTCGCTGCGTTCTTGATGGCAGCCCTGTTTTCGCTGATCCCACAGGCAGGTGGTTGTCGCTCACTGTGGTCTTACTTTGCGTTTCCCTAGTGGCTGGTGATGTCAAACATCTTTCCATGTCTTTAATTGTCATCTGTGTATTCTTTTCAAAGAAAGATTGCTTCATGTCTTTTGCCCTTTTAAGTGGATTGTTTTCTCATTGTTCTCATTTTGGACATGAGTTCTTTGTCAAATATGTGATTTGCAAATATTTTTTTCTCAGGCTGTACTTACTTTTTCATTCCCGTAGTGTCTTTACAGAGGAAATGCTTTAATTCTGAGGATATCTAGTTTATCTGTGTTTTTCTTTTGTGGGCCATGCTTTTGGTATTTCAAAGAATTCTTCACCATTGCTAGGTCCTAAAGATTTTCTTCTGTGGTTTTCTTCTAAAGCTTTATAGTTTTACATTTTACATTTAAATTTGTCATCCCTCTTGAGTTAATTTTGGGGTAAGGTATGAAGTTTGAATTCAGTGTAGGCTTGTTTTCTTTTGTTCTCACCTATGGGTATCTAATTGCTCCTGCACTATTTGTTGAAAGATCTGCTTTATTCCATTGGCTTGCTTTTGCACAATTATGAGAAATCACTGGGCCATTCTTGCTGGCTATTTCTGGGTTCTTTATTCTGTTCTGTTGATCTAAATGTCTGTCCCTCCATGGAAACTACCTGTCTTGATTACTCTAGCTGTGTTACAAGTCTTGCAGTCAGGAGGGGTGATTCCTCCCACTTCATTGTTCTTTTCACAATTGTTTAGCTCTTCTATCCTTTGCCTTTTCATACAGATTGATGACTACTCTTGTCTGTACCTACAAGAACCTTGCTGGGATGTTTATAGGAATTACATTAAATCTGTGTATCAGCTTGACCTTACTCTGTTGAGTCTTCCATCCGTGAATGCCATATGTCTCTCCAGTTTTAGCTCTTCCTTGATATCTTTTATCAGCATTGTATAGTTTTCAGCATATAAATCCTGTAATGTTGTGTTAGATTTATGTATCTGTGTATTTCATTTTTTAGTGATTGTAAGTCACCTGGTATTTTTAATTTCTGCATCCCTGTTCACTGTCAGCATGTGGAAATACAATGGATTTTTGTGTCCTGATGTATCCGGTTACCTTGCTGACCTTGCTTTTTAGTTCTAGGAGATTTTTGTAGACTCCTTGGGATTTTCTACACAGACCATCATGTTATCTACAAACAAGAACAGTTGTGTTTCTAATCTGTGTGCCGTTCACTTCCTTTTCTAGACTTACTTCATTGTCTAGACTTCCAGCAATATGTTGAATTACAGATGTGGGAGCAGACATCCCTCCCTTTTTCCTAATCTTAAGAGAAAGCATTCAGTCTTTCTCCCTTATAATAGATTTTGCATAAGTGCTCTTTATCAAGTTTAGGATATTAGTTCTGCCCTATGAGGATTTCTGTCATGATGGGTGTTGAATTTTATCAGATGCTTTGTCTACACCAATTGATACGATCATGTGATTTTTCTTCTTTAGCCTATTAATATATTATGTTGATTGATTTTTGAATATTGAGCCAACCTTGCATTCCTGCAATAAACATCACTTGGTCATGGTGTATAATTTTGTTATGTATTGCCAAATTCTTTTTGCTAGTATGTTGTTAAGGATTTTTGTTTCTGTAGTCATGAGAAATACTGGCCTGTAGTTTTCTTTTTTATAACGGAGTGTATTCATCTGATTTTTTGTCTTTTCTATATTCTTTTGAATGTATTTATGTAATTTATGCAAGCAGTGATCTACTTCAAATATGAAAAAAGTAACTTTGCAATAAAGTATTAAACATTCTAAAATACTGCTTTTTATAAACAAGGCTTCACTTTTAAGTAAACATTTAAATTGGTAAATATGTAATAGAAATATTTTTTCCCATCAAAAATTATCAGAATTCTTTCAAGGGTAGTTTGGGTAATATTTTCAGCTAAGACTGACTTAGGACATACAATATATCAATAGGTTGAAGAGGACTTTTTACCAAGTAGCTTAGTGAAATCTTAGGAAATATTTAAACATATCTTCAGTTCATGTGGTTATTTAAGATCTGTTTCTTAGTTGTAACACAGGCAAGCTTTATTTCAGAATTTGATTAGATACATGCCTTCTTGTCCAGAATCTCCAGACTTGACAGTTATGTAAACATCACATGAAGTCAGTGTCATTAAGCTGAGATCTTCTTTTGCCATTAATAAAGAGTTATGGTGTGAATCCGTGTTTAAGCTTCCACATACCCTGCACGGCTATAATATATTTATATCATATACCAGAAATGTATACATATTTAGTATTTGTGTGTGTAACTTTTTAAAAATGACTTTTTGCCTCAAAAAATTCATGAGTAGAACCCAAGTGGATGCCTCAAACTGTTACTAGTGAATTTTTAAAGCTAGTTAATAAGTGATCACTTAAATGAAGATGTAAATCACGACTCTGTCTTATTGACATGAACAGAGCCATCTGAATTGATCATTTCTGAGCATCTGTGGCGTTACCTTGACCACCTAAAATGACTATAACATCGTTTGTCCCATTCATCTTAGAGTTGCTTGAAATAGTATGTATTTCACGGCGTATTCTGATGAATGTTTCCATACGCAGGTCTTAGGAAAGGCAGAGTTTCTCTTCTTCCAACTTGTTCTAATTTTTCAGGATTCAAGCCAAAACGCGAGAATTTCGGGAGCGACAGGCTCGGGAGCGTGACTATGCTGAAATCCAAGATTTCCATCGGGCGTTTGGCTGTGATGATGAGCTGATGTACGGGGGAGTCTCTTCCTATGAAGGCTCCATGGCTCTCAGCGCCAGACCCCAGAGCCCGAGAGACGGGCATATGATGGATGCTCTGTACGCCCAGGTCAAGAAGCCGCGGAATGCCAAACCTTCACCTGCAGACAGGTAGGCTCCAGGAGCAATCAGGGTATGGCTTCCAAATCGACTTTTACACAGTTTGTGACAAGGGTGTCAACTGCTCTCCACTTCTCCCACCAGAACGGCCTTTCTTAATGGACTTTAAAAAGCCATTTTGTCCAAGGGTATTGAGTTTACACAAATCTAAGCTTAATGGAGGGAACCGAAGAGATTTTGATGGCTTTTCTGATGATCCTGACGTATTTCATCTTGCTCTTAAATGGTTTTGGACGGGAAAACGAACCTGTAATATATGACTCAAATCAAAAGCACACTTGAAACTATGACTCTTCTGTCTTAGGTATATTTCCTTTGGTTGGTAGGAGAGCCCCCAGTTGTGGGAGTTAAATACGTGGGCAAAGACATGATTTTTTTCAATTCTGACTTATTCGGGCCATTTTTTTTTAATTTGGTGACGTGATTTGGTGTCATGAAGGAATCAGTGAGTGGGCTGGAAGTCTAGCCAGCCCTCAGGTTGCTTGGTGATGGCTTCCGACCACAGGTCTGACTCTCATACAGATGGGCGCAGCGCTGAGCCTGTGTTAATGGTTACATGTTTATTTCAGGTTTATCTGAGACAGTTTAAAAACCGATCTTTTTCCACCCCTCTATTTAAATATTCAAGCGCCAGATGAAGTTGAGTTCATGAAGAAAATAGCACTCATGTCTTTCTGTACGAAGCACCTGCCTGTGACCGTCACGATAGCACTGATCCCCTCACCTCTGAATCACAGGGTCGTGCGGTCGTTGCTCTGGAGTGGAGCTGGGCTTTGAGTGTTACGAACAGTAGTTTCCCTTATAACTTACGCTTCTCAGGCTTTAGCTTGCATTGGGTGCCTGGAGGGCTGCTGCTGCTGCTGCTGCTGCTTTTTTTTTTTAATTGAAATACCATCAGTTACAATGTGTCAGTTTCTGGTACAGCATCGTGCCCCAGTCATGCATGTACACACATAGATTCGTTTTCATATACTTCTTCGTTAAAGGTTATTACAAGGTATTGAATATAGTTCCCTGTGCTGTACAGAAGAAATTTGGCTTTTATCTATTTTTATATATAGTACTTAACCTTTGCAAATCTCAAACTCCCAAGTTTATCCCTTCCCACCCCCTTTCCCCCTGTAACCGTAAGATTGTTTACTATGTCTGTGAGTCTGTTTCTGTTTTGTAGATGAGTTCATTAGTGTCCTCCTTTTTTCTTTTTTCTTTTCTTTTTTTGATTCCACATATGAGTGATATCATATGGTATTTTTCTTTTTCTTTCTGGCTTACTTCACTTAGAATGATGATCTCCAGGTCCATTGATGCTTCTGCAAATGGCATTATTTTATTCTTTTTTATGGCTGAGTAGTATTCCATTGTATAAATATACCACAGCTTCTTTATCCAGTCATCTCTCAGCGGACATTTAGGTTGTTTCCTTGTCTTGGCTATTGTAAACGGTGCTGCTATGAACATTGGGGTGCATGTAGCTTTTCAAATTAGAGACCTGGAGGCTGATAAACCCTTCCCCAGAATTTTGATTCCATAGGATGAAATGGAGCCCGAGAATTTGCATTTCTACCAGGCTCCCGGGTCTGATGCTGGTGCTGTAATTTAAGAGCCCCCGCCAGGCCAGACGTGGGTTGGAACGACTCCGTCTGTAGCCCACGTGCTGTGTGGCTGCTGGGTCTTGCAAGCAGGCTGTCTTCCAGTTATTTCCTTCAGGCTGTTTTCAGTAGAGGTTTGCAAACGAAACAGGTAACCCTCCGGCAAACCCAGAGAGAAGCGTCTTAAAGAGGAGCGAAGAGAGAAGCTGGTCTTGGGGAAAACTCTAGGCAGGTTACCATTCTGTTCTTTCTTTTCAGTTTGTGTCGTTTGGTTTTAGGGTCTTTAAGAATTGTTGTATGAAAATCTGTGTGATGTTGGCTGTCACAAGCCAGTCTCCTAAGTGGACACAGGAGGCTTAGGTTTATTTAAACTCCTCTGAGGGCCCCCGAATCTGGCCCGGCAGAGTACCTCTGTGACAACCACACCGTGAGAGACAGTGACAATAAGAGCTAAGCCTCAGCCTGGCGTCCCGTAGCCCCAGGGGTGACCTCCCTGGTCACCAAGGCGGTGCGCACACGTTGCGTTACCTTTACCTTTCCTGTAAGTTGTACCAAAACGTCTTCTTAAGTTCTTTCCTTGGTACCACTCCTTCAAATAAAGTAATTTGGTTCTCCCAAAAGTAAAAACCAGAAAGCAGACCCCTTCGGGACGATCATCTCGGAAGTTCACTGTGCAACTAATGTGGATGTGTCAGGCCTCAGAGAATGAGGCTGTGGTCAGCGACAGGGACATCTTCAAAAGCTCGCGCTTGCTTTTTGCTGTACTTGTGGAAGCCGCTTGTCGAAGGTCAGATCGCACCTGAAGGCCATGGATGCGCCTTGAAAGTGCTTTCTTGGGCAGAGGGACAGCGGTGACACTGGCTCTGCCCAGTGGTAACTTCTGGAGGAACGAAAAGAAAATGGTTACTGATGTGTTATTGATCACAGTTAAAAATACGAACCATTCTTGGCACCTTCTACATCTAGTTTGGAAATCTAAAAGATGGTGACTCGTGGTGATTATTCACATCGCCCAGAAGTCCCACCTGACGGAGCGGAGTGGAAGGGACCCCTCCAGCTCCTGGGATCCAGGGCCTGTCGCTTTAAACCCCATTTAAGCCCCAGTGCCTCCAAGAGTCAAAGCTGGTCCTGGAGATTTCTGCAGATTTTCAAAAGGGCTTTTTTCCCCTACGCACATGTCTGTTTTATTATGGCAAAGGTGAAAACACCACTTTCTCCACAATAGAAACCAGTAAACTTTATCCCAACAACAACTTTGTACAAAAGAGGTCTGTTTCAAAAATGTTTTTTTAATTTTTTTTAGAAAAGAAGGAGGAGCAAAGAAAGAAAAAGAACCCTTTATATGAATTTTAAGTCCCATTTTAAAAAGTAAAAGAAACAAATCCACCCTTGGCCCCACAGCCCCAGTCTGTCACCCCTCCTGCCAGGGAGCACGGAGGGGACATCTGGGTCCTGGCCCACGCGCAGACCCACTGGTCTGTTTGACGGGTGTCCATCTGGCCTTGTCAGCATCTGCTCTGGGCCCCAGCATCCCGGCCTGCAGGCCCCGCGCTGTGCCCTGTGACCTCAGCCTGAAACTCAGGCCCTTAGTCCATTTCCATCCTAAACCCCCTCAGCCCCACGTCCCAGAGGAGACTGTTGTCGGGGACGAGTCATGCTGACCAGGGAACAGCTGAGAATCACATCACACACTCTCCAAGTGCAGGGCCCCTCCGGCCTCCCTGGAGCACAGCCCCGCCCACTGTCTGCTGGGGATGCTCCAGTTCTGTGCCTTGTGCCCCAAGGGCAACTGGACTAGAGGATTTCTAAGACACTGCCAACTCGAGAGGGAGAGAATTTTTTTTTTTGAAAAAGATCACAGAAACTGAAGTTCTGTTTGTGTCATTATTATTTATTCAGAGAATAGGATGCCCGTCGAACAATGACACCACTAATCCTAAAAAAGGGACTTACAGCGCCCGTGACGTGTTCCTTCATCAACCCATAATGAATGAGTCTGGCTGGGTAAGGGCGCCCCTCGGGCATGCTTTTCTGTCGGGGGTGGGGGGGGAGCCGGAGAGCAGTGCATCTCAGACTTGAGGGCATGGGGACTCTGAGAAGCGCAGCCTCTCGATACTGCAGTGTAGAGTTAAATTGTTTTGATGATAATGTTACTTAAATATGTATAAAAATAAAATAGGACTGAACGCCTTCTGTTTGCAGCCATTATACAACCATAAAACCCAACATCTTTACAAATTAAATACAAACAAAGCAGCAAAACCATTACCTTCAAGTGAACAGCATTAACTTAATGTGGCCGATAACGTGTTTTAAACTCCAGGCCCTCGCACCAGTCATGAGCACGGTGGCGGCTGCTCGGTGGCGGGTTCCCGGGCGTGTCTGTCTGCCCCACAAGCCGAGGGCTGACTCCGCTCACCCGTCGCTCTCCTCAGGTGGATCCTGCGGTTCCTCTGCGTGGATCCAGCGGCCTCTGACCTGTGCACCGCATCGGTTCATCCTTCGTGCACGAGGTCCAGCCCGCTTCTGGAACCATTCAGTGGAGGCAGTGAAAGTAGCATTTCTCAGTGCCTCTGTCTCTGTTAACTTAAACTCAGACATGTCACCT